CCTTCTCCCTCCAAAAAGTCCCATTAAACATGCAAATCTTCCTTCAAGCAATCCTCTGCATTTTCTGAGTCTTCCTCTTCAGTGTCACTGTCCAGCCTTGTTGAGGATGGCTCAGCCTTAAGTTTGCCCGAATGCCAACCAGTTTTTCCACTCTCACATTTGTGAACCTTTGTGTGGTCTCCATAGCCATGCAGTAAGCAGTGTGCTATGGCATGGATATTCAAGTCTACTTGAATGGCATCTGTTTGTTTTAGTCAAGATTATGCAAAAATATACTTTACACAACTATATTTAAGTTCCCTATGAAGAGCCAACCTTCAATTTTGAAAATTCCCAGTTTATTCCCATAAATTCCCGTTTATTCCCGTCGTGGAAACTTTCCATCTTTGAAAATTCCCGGAATTTTGCAACCCTAAGAGTGAGCAAAACATTCCAGGAGAATTACGTTTTTATGACGCTAGTCTGTACAGTTTGGTCAACAACCCTTCCTCAAATGAAATAAGTTTGTTCTAACAATATTATGTTTTTCCTTTCCCAGTTTATCATTAAAACACTGACTCCACATCTTCTCCTGATCTGATCGAGTGTATAATGTAATCGTTTGCATGTGCACTTTACCCCTCCTTGTTGTAATTCAGTTAGTCTAAGCTGCAGTATAATAACTCAGCCGGAAGCTGGCTAACAGTCTTTTCCACTTTCAGTGTCATCAAAGAGGAAGTGCCGGACAACGACCACGAGCGAGGAAACGACGAGGCAGAGGTCAAGCTTTTTGCTAGCTATTTAAAGGTCACACATTTCTAAATTGGTATTTATATTGTTTATTTAATGCGTGTGTGATTATATGTCCACAGGAGGGCAGTGACCATGAAGAAGGTGAGGATCCAGATGGAGAAGAGGATGACTTTGACATGGCGGGAGAAGAAACGTCTGACGAGTCTGACTCCGAAGACCAGGAGGAGAAAGGTAAGATTAGCCCTAGTGAGAAAAGTCATTCTAGGTAATAATTTGCAAGATACTTCAGGAACTAATGATGCGTTTGTGTGCACAGAAAACGTCCAGGCAGACCTGGCCAACATCACCTGCGAGATCGCCATCAAGCAGAAGCTGATCGACGAGCTGGAGAACAGCCAGCGGCGTCTGCACACTCTCAAGCAGCAGTACGAACAGAAGCTGACGATGCTGCAGAACAAGATCATCGACACACAGCTGGAGAGGGACAAGGTGCTGCATAACATGGGTAAGAGGCACGTGCAAACAGATATCAAAATACACTCCTAAATGGATAACATTACGGTATTTCTTCAAGATTCAAGGCTTTTATTGTCATTTCTACATAGTCATCTTAGGTCACAGGCTCCTCCAACAGTGCAACACAATAAAACTGATCAAATAGTGCAATTAAATACGAATAGAAATAGTGCAAGAAGAGTCTATATCCAAGTAATTGGAATATGATATATTAGATAAATAATTTGTAAGTTGCAAACAGATGAATGTTATGGATGTTCTTTCAAAAAGTTCAGGTGTTTAACAGTCTGATGGCCTGTATTGTTTCCTTGCTCAGGTTCAGTGGGGTCGGGAACGGATGAGAAAGCCAAGAAGATAAAAACGGAGTACGAGAAGAAGCTGAGCTCCATGAACAAGGAGCTGCAGAAGCTGCAGTCGGCTCAGAAGGAGCACGCCCGCCTGCTGAAGAACCAGACGCAGTACGAGAGGCAGCTCAGGAAGCTCCAGCTGGATGTGACCGAGATGAAGAAGACCAAGGTAATCTAATAGTTTCATTTGTTTTTCAATTACACACTCATGTCGTTGCAGTGCTGATTTGTTCCCCTGCTGTGTTGTATTTCTCCACCAGGTGGTGCTGATGCGTCAGATGAAGGAGCAGCAGGAAAGAAACAGAGCCACGGAGTGCAAGAGGAACAGGGAGATCGCCTCTCTGAAGAAAGACCACCGCAGAGCCGAGGTGACAGAGATTGAAACATTCAACAACTTTTATCTGATTAGCCAAACACATGAGCAAAAATATAAAAAGAGTAGACTGCTCTAATCTCCCTTTTCTTTCCTTACCCTTCCTACAGCACCAACTGAAGCAGATGGAAACCCATAAAAGACAACAGGAGATGATTCTTCGCAGAAAGAACGAAGAGGTGAGACTCGCATGAGGGAAAATTGTTGACAATATCATATTTTGTGTTTTCCTTTTACTCCAATATGCCTCTCTCTTTTGTGATCTGTTCCAGGTGACAGCTCTCAGGCGGCAGGTGAGGCCCCTGTCTGGGAAAGTGAGTCGAAAGGTGACACCTGAACCTCTGCAGGAGCCTCATAGAGCGTCCCCAGGAAGGATGCTTACATCTGGAGCGTCCCAAGCAAATGGAGCAAGGTGCGGCATCCGAACGTGTTTATGTGTGTATCAGACAGTGGAGGGTAAAAGAGTTTTAACATGTCTTTCTCCTCAGGAGCTCCCCAGCGCGGATGGGGAGTATCTACCTCAACAGGACGGCCAGGACCAAATGGCAGTCACTGGAGAGACGAGTCACTGACATCATCATGCAGAGGATGACCATCTCTAACATGGAGAGTGAAATGAACAGACTGCTGAAGGTAAAATGACTTCCTTTCTGTGTTCCTCACCATTTACCCTTAGGCGCGTTCACACCGCAGTACTTTTCCCACTTTAGTTCATGAGAACTCTTACAGTACAGATCGCGTTCACACCGGAATAAGTCCCTGGGGGTGGATTAGGCAAATGAAGCCGCTGATGTCACTTCGTCTGCTTTGGGTTTACTGGCAGGGCGCAAACAACTTCACGGCGTATACTGCCGCCCAAAATCCCCGGCCGGAAGTCCCCGGAGTTAGGGACTGACTTCAGTCCCTTCCGAGTAAATCGCCAGAACGCCGACACCTCCTCATCTCCACCGCTCCCATGTTTTATTTTGTGTTGCCATAAGTTAGTCTCTCTGCGTTTGTGCGCTGGGCTAATGCTAATGCTAATAATGCAATGCGAGGATAATAAAATGGCGGCTTCACAAAACCTTTTGGGAGTTTTACGGGGCGTGGTTTGCATTCCGCCCAGCCAATCAGACATAGGAACCTTTTTCTCCCACGAAAGTACCTGCTCTCTAGCAGGGACAGAAAAGGGGGTAAAACGGTTCTCATGAACTCATTTTAGTTCCGGCTCTTTTTGGTGTGAACGCGACATTTTGGAACTATATCGGAACTAAAGTGGGAAAAGTACTGTGGTGTGAACGCGCCTCTTGACCTCGATAGCAAACGTGATGATTTCAGGATTTTGGACAACCACAGTTCTAAAAGAATATGACTTTAAATGTTGCTGCTGCAGGGAACTGTGGGGCGATATTATCTCCATTTGCTATCTTAAAGGATGGTTCCAGTGTTTCAAATGCTAAAATCAATGAGAAAGGAAGAATTGTATCAGTTACTATATTTCCAAAAACCCAAAGTTATAAAGTGATGCTGTCAAATAAAGTTTTTTTAATTGTGTAAATCCAATATCTTAGTCTCTTCTTCTTCTTCTTCTATTATTCCATTAGCAACGGGAGGAGCTCACCAGGCGGCGGGAGCGAGTGTCCAGAAAAAGAGAAAAGATTGCGGTGGATGGTGCAGACGCCGACCGCTCCCTGGCCTCTCTGAACGAGGAGCTGGAGTCTCTGAGCGCCAACATCGACTACATCAACGACAGCATCGCAGAATGCCAGGCCAACATCATGCAGATGGAGGAGGACAAGGTGAGGGGTCCCAGGAAATCTGGTTTCTTGGTAGACATGAAGAAGTAGATATATTTTTTTAATATTGTTGTTAAAGAAATTGCATGTTGCTAATATCATACCGAATTGTTGTCAAATGTCATGCAACATCCAATAACATATTTTACTCCTTAATCTCAACAGGTATATGTAAGCATGCTAATGTTAGCTTTGTAAGTATGTTCAGCTAGCATCGTAAAACCTGGCAGTATGGTGTAAATATTAGGCATTTTTGTTAGATTTCTACAGAGGGCTAGCACGTTTCCTGTTTTCAGACTTTGTGCTAAGCTAAACTAACCAACTGCTGGCGGTAGCCCTATATTTAACAGAGCAATAAAATAGTAATATCAATCTTCTTGTCTAACTCGCAAGAAAGTCAGTTGGTTTATTTCCCAAAGTGCAAAAGGTCCTCCATGGTCAAATACAGTGTATTATTACTGGGTTTCTCATAATGCCACTTTATCGATTGTGTTTTTATTCTGGGTTACAGGAGGAAGGAGACACAGGGGATGTGGTCGCTGTGATCAGCTCCTGTAATTTATCAGAGTCCCGCTTCCTTCTGGATCATTTCATGACCATGGCCATCAATAAGGTACCTACTGCTGACTTAATGTTATTTCAGTCTTATGTCATCAGTGTTTGGGTTTTCATTCTAGCAATTGCAACAGGTATATTCAGGTTTCTGCATGACTCTGGATGCAACTTAGTAAACCTGACAAACCCTTTGCTTTCACCTTTAAGATAAAAAGTACAACCCCATATGTTAATACAGCACAGTTCACTCAGATAACGTGAGCACTGCTTTTTTATATATATGATAACCGTAACTGTGCCAATTAGATTTCTTTGTTATCATCTGTGTTGTTGGTTGTTATGACAACTTGAATACAATTTCGTCTTGATCTCCCTTTCGTAGCCATGGCTTCTGTGCAGGACGTAATGAGAATTTAAATAGAACAACTTAATTAAATTGTGTTAAAATTAGATTAGATTAGTAAGGAAATTAACCCAGCAGCAGAGAACAAGAAAAGGACAAAGGAAGAAATTGCAAATTGGTTTTGCCTGCTTCTCCAGTAATTCCTTCTTGTGTCATCAGGGTCTGCAGGCGGCTCAAAAGGACTCCCAGCTGAAGGTGATGGAGGGCAGGTTGAAGCAGACAGAGATCAACAGCGCCACCCAGAACCAGCTGCTGTTCCACATGTTGAAGGAGAAGGCGGAGATCAACCCGGAGCTGGACGCCCTGCTGGGCAGCGCTCTGCAAGGTCTGAAACATCCAATCATAACCAGTCTGAGCATGTCAATCATAACCATTCTTTCATGGCTCCATTTTATTTTGTAGGCCAAGAAAAATTATGAAATAAAAATACCTGGCCTGTGAAATAAAGTGCTGCCTTTTTCTCATCTTTGAGTTTGATTTTGATTTGTTTGCTGTTTGTTTTCTCTGTTGTGTGCTGTGAACTCAGAGTTAGGTTACCTGTCATCTGGTGAGTATCCGTTACAATGAGACGGTGTTTTAGAGAGCGGGGCACATGCACAACACAAGACTTCCAAAAGACTTAGACCATATTAAAGGAAAATAAACGATAAGATCATAAAGAAAATGTTACTTTACGTTTATAGCCTTATACATTTTGGTTCTGCATTTTGAAATTTGTAAAAAAAAAGTTAAGGCACATCGAATGCCTTTTTGTTTTTAAAGGAATTTGCATTTTTTACTAAAACCTTATTTTTTTACATATATATATATATAGAGATAAGATGCAGTTACATAGAAATATGTATCATGGTGAATGGTATTTATACCTCCTTTTATATTCAATGCAATAAATGTAATTATATTTTTTAAAGTAGATAAAGAAATCTTGTAGTGTGCATCAACCCGAAATCCTCCTTTGTGAAATCTAACCAAGTCGAAGTAACTCCGCCATAACGTGCATGATGTGTTTTGTTACGTTTCCCCCGTTATCCCACCTGTTAGCAAATCCCTCTCACTAAAGTCACTAAAACTAAACAGAAAACCCCACGCTGCAGCAGGACTCGAAGTTGAACACAGCAGTTTGTGTGTCTGCATTTCTGTTTGTATCCGTCACATGCTTTTTCCATTCTTCCTCCACACAGGACACACACTGTAGCTTCTGGTTGTGTTACATTAAACGTGTCTCTTTTCTAGTCTAAACCTTAACCAGGTGACCCCTGCCCTTGTTATGAGCTGCTGAAGCCTTAGTCATTGTTGTGCTGTAATACTCTAGCTTTCTGACTGGACGTTGTCTTGTGTAAGGCTTCTTGAAAACACACATGCTTTTCAAATGTACTGAGGTATCCTGTTTTCCACAGAGAACGGAGATGACAGCAGTAGTGACGAGTCAACCCAGAGCCAAGCTGCAGAGGGCAGGTAAAGACACACAGAGGGAAAAGCCGAGATGGGATTGATAACATCAAATAGGGCTGCACTAGGCTTATTAGTATTGTTAAAAAAAAAGAGGTGCATCCTATCTCTCTAGAGCAGTGGTCACCAACCTTTTTAAGCCCAAGATCACCGACCTCGGCCTAGGTGAAAGGCGAGACCTACCTATTGCAGAATTGAGTGAAAAAGACGGCCCAGACAGTGCTTACAATTTGAGCCCTTTTATATAGGCTAATTGCATCTGAATTACTGTTACAATGAAGGCTCCATAATCAGCTCACGGCATATAGGCAGGGGTAAAGTGCAATTTTGTATGAGTCTTTATAATAATAATAATAATAATAGATTTAATTTGTTAGCGCTTTTACAGGTTAGGGGTGCAACAACTAATCGACTTAATCGATTAAAATCGATTACC